GCATGCATGCAAGACCGTGCATATCTGTCGTTGACTGGTTTTCATTCATTTCTTTTATTTATCTTGTCATTTTCCTTATTCTTCCTCGAAAATGAAAGTCATTGCCGTTGCTGCATTACTTGTCGTTGCAGGAGCTGCGTCAGTACCAAAGACACATGTTCTCAATTTCACGCATCCATATCCAGTGACAATGAACACCAACTGCGGTGCGAGGCGGATACAGTTACCATTTCCAGTTCAGATCTACACTGGAATGAAGGAGTTTATGCTGTTGAAGTTTGCGCTACCATTGATAAGGGAACTCTTCAAGGGTGCAATGGAAGCGAGAAGAGTTCAAGCTTGGCCGTCGAAATAACAACTGACAAGACAACGTTCAAGTTGGTGCACAACACCAAACCGAAGACGTACTGCAAGACCTTCTTTCCTTGCGATATCGTCAAGGAGCTCCCAGATACAATCGATCTATCAGACTTACCGTGGTAGGAAGTCCAGATTGAAAATCTTAAGCAAGCTACTGGTCTACCTGAACTACGGGCTACTCTTCGCGGTACTGGAGTTGTGGCGACCCCAACGAGCGACATGAAGGATCCCATCGAGGTGGACCATCATCCTTTCAGCGGTGTTTGTTCTGGTTTTAACTGCGCAGTCAAGTCCAGCAACAAAAGGTTTCAACATTGATTATTCGCGGAGAGAGCAAAATTCCCAAATGCCATCTGGAACCTGCAGTAGCCAATGATAAGGTATTCAATGTTGTAAGTTACACCAACGAGTGCGGCGGGGGAAAGTGCGAGACCAAGTTGACGTTCACTACGAAAGGAACTCCACCGATCTCTCCATCGAGCTCCAGAAAACTAACCGTGATTGTGGCAGCGGCAGCCATCGGAATTCTGTTGATGTTTGTATAAAGCCGTGTCGGTGTGGGCCCGTACTTGGTTGTTTTAGTGGTTGATTAAAGCCGTGTTTGTATAGTGCCGTACGTTGTTTTTTAGTGTTTTTTTCGTCTATTCTGAACGTTTCGTTTCTGAAGACAATCGGAATTGGCAAAATGTTGATTCTGTCACCAAAGATTCAGGGGGAACATGCTGCACCGTCTTCCTTCCCTAGATGGCGAAGCTGATCCGAGAGAACATCCACCTCTCAGAAGTCTCCTTGCATTGTGAATGTTGAAGCGAAAACCCCAGCTGATTATTTTTCGTCGGAGCTGTTTCCAAACCGCCCAATAGATCAGCATTTGGGACAATCATGAAAAGTCACGTTTTTGTGTCGTTAACAATCCAAACACACTTGATCTGGTCGGGGCTGATGTCCAACGTTACTTGAAGCGAATGAGTACTCCGTCCCTCCTATTGAACAAAGACAACGTAGAGAGCGAAATCCTGCAACCATCAAGACGTGTGTCCGTATCGCGTCTTTGCACCTAAAAAAGATGGAGGGTGGCGATGTGAAGTGAATAGACACATCAAGGCGGACCGATCTTCCGTTCCTCGCCAACAAGATTGTGTACTGGCAAGCCCACCACAACTCCTACCGAATGTTTGCAGCGCCAAAACAGTTATGAACTTGGATCAGATTCAACCATCAATCTTATCACTCAAAGGAATCAGCGGCCAAACAGAATAACAGTCACGTTCCATTCTGTGACATGGAAGATGGCTTGACGCTTTGAAAAACCAATACACTCGATTGGTACAAATGAACTGCTTTAGGGGAGGCTAGTGTATTATTATGTATCCACCGCTTGCTCACATGGTGGCCTAATATGCAGCAGGCCGAGGACACCGTCATTTCAACGTGTCCAATCCGCAACGCCATTTAGCATATGGCAAAGTCGCTCGTTCTAGAATGAACTCAACTTTGGCGTGGGCAGGTAAGTGCATATTCGAGTGATGAGCACCTTGATGAGTGCAGTTGTTATTACATACGCGTGCCGAGAGCCTTCACCATTGAATTCTACAATCTGTTGTGAGATCGCGATTCCACGTTCACCATGCAACACGCGAAATGTTGTACATTCCCCTACCGACTACCCACAAGGTAACTGGATTCCTTTGATAAAACAGGACATCCAATACACAGATACCCGACACTACAACTGCTGATACCACGATTGGGGCCACACTCTCTGTCGTTCAGGATTTCAGTCGAATGCACGCATCTGACTTCCTCTTCAACTTCGTTTTGAAGTCACTGAAGACTCGAGCACTTGACAGCCACTCGCTGATTAGATAAATCGTTTTTAGATTGGACCTGCTAAGAACAACAAAGCAGGGACAGATTGAACATTTTTCACGTTGAAGCATATTGAGCACCTTGATGAGTGCAGTTGTTATTACATACGCGTGCCGAGAGCCTTCACCATTGAATTCTACAATCTGTTGTGAGATCGCGATTCCACGTTCACCATGCAACACGCGAAATGTTGTACATTCCCCTACCGACTACCCACAAGGTAACTGGATTCCTTTGATAAAACAGGACATCCAATACACAGATACCCGACACTACAACTGCTGATACCACGATTGGGGCCACACTCTCTGTCGTTCAGGATTTCAGTCGAATGCACGCATCTGACTTCCTCTTCAACTTCGTTTTGAAGTCACTGAAGACTCGAGCACTTGACAGCCACTCGCTGATTAGATAAATCGTTTTTAGATTGGACCTGCTAAGAACAACAAAGCAGGGACAGATTGAACATTTTTCACGTTGAAGCATATTGAGCACCTTGATGAGTGCAGTTGTTATTACATACGCGTGCCGAGAGCCTTCACCATTGAATTCTACAATCTGTTGTGAGATCGCGATTCCACGTTCACCATGCAACACGCGAAATGTTGTACATTCCCCTACCGACTACCCACAAGGTAACTGGATTCCTTTGATAAAACAGGACATCCAATACACAGATACCCGACACTACAACTGCTGATACCACGATTGGGGCCACACTCTCTGTCGTTCAGGATTTCAGTCGAATGCACGCATCTGACTTCCTCTTCAACTTCGTTTTGAAGTCACTGAAGACTCGAGCACTTGACAGCCACTCGCTGATTAGATAAATCGTTTTTAGATTGGACCTGCTAAGAACAACAAAGCAGGGACAGATTGAACATTTTTCACGTTGAAGCATATCAACGATAAAGAGCAGATATGCTCATTCGCCCAGTTCTTCAATAGAATGAATCGTTTCCATTGAAAATCAAACTACATCAAAGTTAGCAGCGCGTGGTTTCGATCCACGGACCTGGGGGTTATGAGCCCCCCACTCTTCCACTGAGCTACGCTGCTCCTTATTACAATACACTATATCAAAAATAACGCATATCAAATATCTGGATCAAGACAACTTTGTACTGAGTCTTCTATCCACTGCACTGCTTCCACTATTTGGATGCAAATCGATTTTTGTGTGTTGGATACTGATTTCCTGCCTTCCCCATTCATGTTCCAAATACTGAGATATGAATAGAGCATCCTCTGCTAGCATCACCTTATTCCACATGCAAAGGGACTTCCAAAGACAGAAAACAATCCCAGGACAACTAAAATCCCAGCAGGAGATTTTTCACGGTCCTGGCAGATTGTTGTTAAGGTCCCATTTCAATTTTGCTTAAGTTTTTCATTGTGATGACACCCCTGCGCCCCATCGTCACTCGCGCGTGTTCGACGTTTGGCAAAGCGACGGCGAAGAGAACTGAGAAGCTCGTCGCCTCCCCTGCATGGCGCCAGTCGCTTACCTTCAGTTCGCAACGCACGTTCTCTGCATCAGCTCATCAGCCGAAACCCGATCCTACGGACGTCTATCACGCTGGATTGAGAAACACGGTTTTCACTAATGAGTGCGAAATTTCGAGCGAGTCTCAAACAATCCCCATTTTTCGCGTTCTTGGATACGATGGAAAGTTGCAAGCGGGCTGGCAACCGCCCTTCTCAGCCGAGGAATGCCTTGAGCGATATCGCTTCATGGTGCGCGTCAACGTTTGGGACATGATGCTTTACAATATTCAACGCCAAGGCAAGTGAGGTTTTGACTTACTGTTGTTGCATTTTGCTTCATTTTCAGGTCGAATTTCTTTTTACATGCAAAATCAGGGGGAGGAAGCCTTGCAGACAGCAATTGGTAACGCTTTGGGAAAAGATGATCATCTCTGGTGTCAATATCGTGAACTTGGTGTTCTTCTGTGGAGAGGACTTCAGAACAACGCTTTCACTGTTACGAATGTTCTTGATCAACTTTTCAGGTAGAGTGGCAGCATCGTCTTAATTAACGACTCTCTTTTAGCACTGCTGGGGATCCTGGAAAGGGACGCCAGATGCCTATCTCTTACACCAACAAGGAAACCGGACTTCAAACTATCTGCACACCCCTCACGACACAAGTGCCTCACGCTGCCGGCTGTGGCTACGCTTTCAAGCTGAACGGAGAGAAGCGTGCTGCTGTCGCGTTTTTCGGTGAAGGCGGTGCGCAAACCAAGTCTCTCTCTTTCTTTTGTTATTTTCATTCTTCCTATAGCGGCGTCTGAAGGAGATTTCCACGCTGCAATGAACTTCGCTGCCGTGTTGAAGTCCCAAACGCTGTTCGTTTGCCGAAACAACGGCTACGCAATCAGCACTCCCGTGAAGGACCAGTATGCTGGTGATGGAATCGCAATTCGAGGTCTCTCGTACGGAATGGATACAATTCGCGTCGATGGAAACGATTTTTTTGCGTCGTATATTGCAACAAAGAAAGCTTGGGAACTTTGCGTCAACGAGAGCAAACCTGTTTGCCTGGAATTCATGGTGAGCCGTCCGCTTCATCGCTGTTACCATGCTGCTGTTCTTGTTAGACGTATCGCTTGGGTCATCACTCGACTTCTGACGACTCCGCGCAATATCGTCCTGCTCAAGAAATGTCGATGTGGACACAACCAGGCATTGATGCAATTGCACGACTCCGTTCCTTCCTCGAAAATAACGGATTATGGGATGAAGCAAAGGAGGAGGAGCTTCGAAAGGAGGCGAAGCACTCTATGCTTCAAGAAATCAAACAGGTCGAAAACAGAAAGTCGGTGGCAATTCTCCCTGGCATTTTCGACGATGTCTACGATGTGGAACCGTGGCACATCAAGGTGAGTTCCCTGAATTGGATGAAGTGTAGTCGTTTCTTCCAGGAGCAACGAGAAGAATGTCGTCAGCATTTGAAGAGAAACAGTCAGCATTATGATATGACGAAATTTCAAGGGATTGAATGAAGTTGTAGTGTAGTGATGGATGGTTGTAGTGAATGATGGTTGTAGTGAATGATGGTTGTCATGGAGTGAATGGTGGATGGTTGTGATGGTTGTCATGGAGAACAACGACTTCACCAAGAATTCAGAGATCTTTATTTTGAAAAACCAACAAGTGGTTCATGAAAGTCACGCTATTCTCTACGGCAAGGTTGAGTGAGACCAAGAAGGACCGATTGCATTTCGAACAAATCTAGCTGAGGCCAGGAATGGATGGTGACTCTTGGAGATGATTGCGAACAGTGAAATTGTTTTAATACAGTTCCATTCTGCACTGCTTGAAGCACTTAGTTAATGTTCTGCAATCAGAAAATCAAGATAGCTATTATTGCGATTCTGGGTGTTGATATCGATTGAGTTTCTGTCCAGCAGAAATCGTATAACTGTGATGCCATCCAGTTAAAACGATCATCATATTCATTGCGGTTTCATAAGATTGGCAAATCAGATTCCTGAGAAACCAAAAAGGTGCTGCAAAATCTCGATGTGCTTCCCACCTTAAAAATCCAGAAACTGGCGTCTCGGCTGAGTTGCTTGCTGCGTCGCCACGCTCTTCGTGTAGCCACGCAAGAGTGAAGGTAGCATGGGGAATCGCCTGAAATGAGAAAACAAAATCAAACAGATTTCGGGAGATTTTCTCTGTACTTGTGTTGCATATTGTATTCTGTTTGTTTGATGCATTGTCGCTTCCATCCATTGTTCATTCTCTCGATAAGCATCAAACAGAATTCCATCCAATAGATACAACACCCAATGTTGACTGAACACCCGTTGGGCTTCTGCATAAACAGCTTCAGCATCAGCGAGATCAGTTTTATCCGTCTCCTCTAGACGTGTGATATACGCTGTCTCAAATTCAAGATACTTCGCGATATCGTCTTCCGTAAATTCATACTGACATCTGATCAGAAAATGTCAAGCTGAGCTGCCATCCAAGTGTCAAGCTTGCATGGAAACCCAAGCCTAGCTGCAACAGTCACATAGCTGATATCTTACAGTGAGCAAGTTGATGATGTCGTGACCCCTTGGTCTGTTGAGTTCGGGTCTTTTTCAGTTTTAAAGAAGACGGTTCCTGTCCCACAGCTCGAGCAACGAAATCCCCTAGACAAGTCCACGTCTGCAGTGCATCGGCTACACGTGCACTTGAACAACCAGCCCGCGAGCTTGTCTTGCCGTACTGCGGAATTATACGTCAGAAGCAGCAGTAGAAGAGAGACCTTACTGTTTGTTGATTTATACAAATCATCGTCCCCAACGTAACTTATTGTGATTTCTTGCCCTTGCTTGATGTGATGACGCGCTCGCAAAACAAATGCGTCGTTCTCACCATAATGCCAGCAAGCACTTGCAAGGCAATCATGGGCCAGCATACTGATGCCTGAAATAACATTCAGAATTGTAGAAACAAACATCATTACAACAACTCACGATTGTAAAGCACAAGCCCGTCGCTTTCAACGTGGTGTCCGAATGAATTATACCGCCATACTTGCAAGTATCGTTCATAGCGCTTTGCATCAACAGCAAGTTGAGTCTTCGCTAAAATTCTCTTCAGATCACGACTTGGTGCCTTATTTTTATCTGTGTTCACAAGTTGTTTCAGCAAACCGAATGGAAACTCACCTGGAACCCATTTTTCAAGAAGAACCCGTTGTTCGCTCTTTGGAAGCTTCGTTAGAGAATACAAGGCAGCGAGGTGCCAGATGGGTGGAAGATCTAGAGCCTCCTCTTCATTGATTTCAGAAAGCTTTTCCCATAATGGAGTATCGATTGAAGGAATTGCAGCGAGTGTAGGCAACTCAATAAAAATGATTTCACCAGGAGCAAAATCTCGTCTTGCAAAACAACACCCTGCAAAAAAAACCAATTAAACATATGGTGCATTCATCAAAACTGACTTCCTTTTCCTTCAATGTGGCGAATTTCAATTTGATCATCAATTTCTGAAGATGTGAAAGGCTTTAAATCTTCGGATTGGGGAGGGCCTTGTGGAGTTGATGACTCTGTTTCTTGTTCTTCTTCGGAATATGAAATTCTCCTTTTGTCTGGGGCCAACGCTAAAATAATAGAATTAATAGTTTTAGGGGAGGGAAATCAGACTCACGATCTTCGTATCCTTCGGAATCATGACGAACAAGAACCTCTCTGTCCAAACGCTCGAAGTCCATTGTATTCTTCTGCGCCGTTTCATATGGAACGTACTCAAATTCCTCTTCCTTCGAGTCTGCAAAAATCATTCTTGGACGATTAGCAAAGTGTCCTGCTGACCTTCAAAGTGCTCATACTGATCTGTTTGTTGCTCTGCATTGCTTTCGTCTCCATTCACTTCCTCCTCTTCCTCTTCTGGACTTGACTCTTCTTCTTCTTCTTCCTCCTCATCCTCATTTCCTTCATCTTCCGCTTCCTCTCCTTGATCCCATGTCACAACTTCTTCTTCTCCCTCATCATATACCACAGTGTAATCCTCGTCACTCCAATCAACGCTTTTCCCCAGCTGGCCCGATCCTGCCGCGGTCGACACGGAGGCCATCGCCCCCCATCGCTGCTCACTATCAGGATCGTACTCCCCTTTAAGTCCTTGCTCCTGCTTCTCCCAGAATTGGTACCTTTCATTCCAGGTCGCCTCGTTAATCGAAGGCGGGGGTGGCGAACATGATGCCTTATAAAAGATGTTCAAAAAAATTGGCTAAAACTCAATTACGAGCTAAAAACAATTGCTGTGTCATAAAATTCAGCGGGCTAGGCAATCTGAGATGCAGCGGCAGCATCCACAAATAGACATGTGGTCTGGTGGGAGGTTACGCTCCTCACAGCTAGTAGACAGAAAACCATGTTCGTGTAAAGTGGGCAATTCTTCATTATTTTATTTTTGGCGGAGATTTTTTTTTGTTTTTGTTTCGGAGGAACAGAGAATAAAATGATTTCCTAGCTAACAACGAACATCCACTATTCCTGAAGAAGAACAAATAGAATCGCAAGGAGATGAACTCAATTACCTTCTCCTCAGACATCAAGAGAGGGTCGCCAGCGCGGTTCTCCTCTCTCTGCTGCATCTCAATATCAGAGAGATGTCTGTACGTTTCTTCTGGTGGAGAGGCGCCATGCTCCGCTTCTTGACGCACTGCGCGTCGCCGATCGTCAGGATCTTTGCTTAGAGCATCGAGCAACCCCAAAACACGCCCAGTAAGAACAAAGATGAATGCAATAACTCCCACGATAGAAACAGTGTCCCAAACACCTGCTCCGATTGCGAACACGAGCACCATACTGATGGCTTCGAGAATTCTCCATGGTGCTTGTCCGGTACGTCGAATCATTCTGTTAGCCACAACGTTCTTGATAAATGGGATGGTTCCAGCAGATACCAGTGTACCCCAAGACTGCCACGTAAACAGTTGACTGAAATCCGTCGGCATCCATGAGAACACCGCATACTCCCGACGAATAAGTGCGACGAGAGGGAGAATAAGCAGGCCCATGACGACTTGATGGTTGTGGAGTGTATTGCCGCGTCCTTCAACAACGTGCATCGCTTTTTCGAGACACCATGCACGGAAAGTTGATGAAAAAATGCCATAAGCAAGCGCCACAGGAAACGCTGCAAGACCAACTGTTGTGGGGTCGAAAATACCAAGCAAGAATCCAAGCAGCATTATTGCTAATGCAAGCCAGCGGACGGGAAGGTAAATTTGGCCACATCCAAGGAATCTGCTGACGTGATGGAGGCATACAGCAAGAGAGACAGCGACTGGGAATGATGCAACAGATGGGATGTAGTTAAGTAGCACATTCGCCAAGGTGATCATCCCAAGATAGACCAGCGTGGGAACTGCAAGGCTTTTATAGAGCTTCCAATCGATTGAAAAAGGAGGAAAAAAAAGCAAATTTCGGGAATTCCGCGGATGCTGATCCTAATACAAATGCGAATAAAAATCCAATGAGTAACTGAAACCAAGTGACAGTCACTGGAAACGGGCAAACATCTAGCAAAATTCGATACAACACAAAAATGTTGGTCAGTGTGATAAAGACAAACAGTGCCTCCAATGTTACAACTTCAGGGTCTTTCAAAAACGTTTCCCATTGATCTTTTGAAATCTTCGGTTTGGGAATTTGAAGCGCCATTCTGTAACAAAGGTTGAAATGCTGTTGTGCAAATAAGATCGCCGAAATAGCTTTTTTGTTTATCAAAGAGTCAATGAGGTAATAGCCCCTACTTGTTTGTTGGTAGATTCAATCAATATGCATGCCACACAGATTCTGATCATAAATAAGAATTTCCAAATTTTTCATTTATATTCAGAAACACGTAACACTATCTCTTTGTCTCTCTTTGCTGAGCCATTTCCGAAAAAGGCGCTTCTCATGTCCTCTCTATTTCGCAGTCTCCAGGATAGGATTCTCATAAAATACCAAAGTCTCAATATTAGAACTGTTTCAGGCAAGACACACCACAGCTTCATGTGTCGTTCTTTGAAAACCCGAAAATCTATTGATTCCTGCTTTTCTTCAATTCTTCACCCGCATTCCACAAACCACACAGGGACCGACCACTCATTTTTTCTGTGTGCCCCCTCTCCATGAAGTTGATTTTCGCACTCATTCAGATAGGAGTTACTATTCAAATAGGAGCTAGCTTTCGAATAGGACCGTTTGAAGTTCCATATAGTGCGATTTTGGCAAGTCACCAATCTGATTGCTGGCTTCTCATGATTTCTTTCTTTTAGTCGCTTGTAAACGCACTTTTGAAAGTTCCTGGGAAGATTTGCCAAAATGATGTTTGCGTAAGTGGAAACAGTTTCTCGAGCCCCATCCTCTTCTTCTTTTTCTTCAGACGGCAACCCTTCACTGCGAATACGGTCTGCTCCAAACGAAACAGCAAGGCTTGAGGGGTTGGCTGTCGGTTGGAGGAGCACAGACGAAATTCGCGCAGGCTGTTTACAACGAAATCGACGTCATCAAGAAAGTTGAAGATGAAAACAGATTGGCTCCAGAATTGCAAGCACGAAGAAACGAGTTTAAGCTAAGAAAGCCAAGAATAATGAAGGATCTTCTTGAAGCTGCGGCACGTCGAGAAGTTCGATTTCCGAAACACTTTCTATCAATAGCATCACAATTGGCGAGTTCTCCTCTGGCCTTCGATCAAAATTGGTTTGGCGAAAAAACACCTCAAGAAATGTCGACAACCCCAAGTCTCTTCAGACTGCTCCTCACGATTGCGGGATCTCTTTCAGAAATTAGAGTTCATCTTAAAGACAAAAAACTGGCGGTCATCAAAACCGAATTAAAAGATCAACTGAAAACGATTCGGCAAGATGCACCAGAATTGATCGATGAATTGCTCCTTGCATTGGATGAATTAGCGGTTCCGATAACTCCGAAACTGGATACTCAAAAAATGATCAATGGAGTTGCAATGGTTGTAAGCGCACTGTTTCGAAACAGGTTTGTTCTCGGAATTGAAGATCAAGTTTATTTAGAAAAAAAAGCAAATGAATTTTGTCAGCCATATTGCGAAACAAGTTTTCAATGTACCGACACAAGCGCTGAAGCACAACAATGGATCAAATCTGATGCAGCGATATTAAAGGAATTTGAAAATGGGGCGCTACAACTTCAGAATGAAAAGGCAGCTTTTATTCGAATGCGCGATGCGGTTGAAGAAGTGGAAGCGCGAATTTCTAACTACGAAGGACAAAAAAAACAAGACAAACTATTACTGCAATCAAACAGAGATGCTGCGCGTTTCCTCGCTGAAAAAGTTCGAAAGCGCGAAGAAGAACTAAAATCTCGACGGAGGAAGTGGCTGGAGGAAAAGTGGAAAAGAGTCAAAAAATGACTTGCGATTGAAAGATTCCAATATTTGATAAACGATGCTTTCATTGATAGCCAAAAAGTTGTCGTGTGGAAAAGTTTTTCTTCCTACAAAAGAGAGTCCACGTGGCCTTCAGTAAACTCAGTATAAACTGCAGTTGTACTAGAGCAACTTGGAACATTTTCATCTTGAGCGTTGCGAAGAGTGAATCCTCCTTCGTTGGAGTCCTTCGAAAGGACATCCAGAGTCCCAAAAACGCGTCCAGCGAGAACGAGGCTGAACGCCACGCTACTTGCGATTGACGTTGCATCCCAAAATCTTGCACCGATCACGAACACGAGCACCATACTGATGGCTTCGAGAATTCTCCATGGTGCTTGTCCGGTACGTCGAATCATTCTGTTAGCCACAACGTTCTTGATAAATGGGATGGTTCCAGCAGATACCAGTGTACCCCAAGACTGCCACGTAAACAGTTGACTGAAATTTGTCGGCATCCAATTGAAGACCCTCGTTTCTCCGCAAACCAAAGCAATGAACGGAAGCACAATGATTCCCATCGTCACCTGGTGGTTGTGGAGAGTGTTTTCTTGACCTTCAACGATACGCATTGCTTTTTCCAGATAACGGGAACGAAATACAGCCGAGCATATTGCATAAGAAATTGCTACTTGTAGAACATCAAAGCCTAACATTGGATCAAGAAGCCCAACAAGAAAGCCAACCGTCATCATTGAAATTGAGAGAAACCGAACAGGAAGGTAGATCTTCTTTTTCTTTCTCAGAAGCACCCCCAACGAAAGAAGAACAGGGAAGGATGCGATTGCAGTGATGCGATTAAGAAGAAAATTTCCTAGCATTAAAATTCCTAAATAAAAAATTGTTGGAACAACGAGAGCTTTACATAAGCTGAATTTGATCGAAAACGGAGGAAAGTGGGCGCTTCTTGGAAACTCTGATGAAACACCCCCCAAAATCGCCGCGAGTGAGAAGTCCGTAAATAACTGAGCCCAGGTGACAACCACTGGGAAAGGACAAATATCCAATAAAATCCGATAAAGTATGAAAATGTTTAGTAATGTTAGAAAAACAAACAAAACTGCTAGCGTTGCAATTTCGGGATCCTTTAAAAACTGATCGCATTGTTCTGAAATTCTAGGAACTGACAATCTCAACTTTTTCAAAACTAGTTTCCAAACAGTTCGGCAGATGCACCTGGGTCCAATCCAATTCCAAGCAACATTCCAGAAAACAGATCGCAGTGACCGTGATGCAACGGCCCTGTCGCACCACGGGGTTTCGAGAGAGAGTTGCGACGCTTCTTGCCGTTACTAGATTCTCAATACCAGAGTGCTCGACCACACTCTCTGCCAGGGGTCGGGGATCGATATTTAGTGCCATCACATCAGGCACGACAAGAACGCCACACAGACAACACGAAGAAGGTTCTTCTACAATGTGTGATAAGAACGAAACCTTCACTAATCATTCATCGCGTCACTCTGCATGACTGTTCTGACGGTAACGACGGCATGCAGTAGACTCCGGAATGATCAAAACTAAATCGACACCCGTTCACGTCGCATTAGGGGGGATTCAAGCCCTCTTCCCTCTTCATCAGTATGGGATCGGGGAGTACTCCCCCTTTGATGAAAAACAATGCGATGAAATGATGATGGTCGGTATGATGCGGGGCCGGACTCTCAGAGAAATCGCCGGCACTCTACCTTCAAGATCGTCAGCTGGTTCAACAATTTCAACTTTTGTAAACAACGCTGTCTATGAAGCGATTCAGCGTCAAAGAGCTCGACCGATTGCACCAATACCTCAATCGACCAATCGATCAAGCATTCAACCAAACACTCAACCAATCCCAAACAATCAAGCAGTCCAGCGACCCAGTGCGCAAAGACCCAGACTGGCAGAACTCGCAGCGACTGCCCAACAGGTAAACAACGCTGTCTATGAAGCGATTCAGCGTCAAAGAGCTCGACCGATTGCACCAATACCTCAATCGACCAATCGATCAAGCATTCAACCAAACACTCAACCAATCCCAAACAATCAAGCAGTCCAGCGACCCAGTGCGCAAAGACCCACACTGGCAGAACTCGCAGCGACTGCCCAACCTGTTGACTTCAATGAGATGCTCTTTCGGACCTTGCAGCGTCAACGGGGTCTTCCAGAACAGACGCCCAAGGTGAATCCCAGACGGGAGATCAGTGAAGCAACACGAGAGAGCCACAAAACAAGGAGACGAGGAAGTTTAACGAGAAGAGTCGCAGAAAGGGAAAAGAGAAATTCTCTTTCATTAATGAATTCTAAAATTCCAAAAAAGGAGATTGAGTTGGAAAATCCATTAGATGCTTCAAGGTGGGTTGATGCATCATGTTCTTCTAAACCAACGATTATTTCGTAGGGAGTGCCGTATTTGTTTTGCTGACGTGACTCGTGGGAATAACGTTACAATTCTAAAATGCAAACATGGATTCCATTCTGACTGTTTGGATCACTGGTTTCGAGTGAGAGACAGAGAGAACAACTCAAAGAATTGTCCGGTTTGCCGTGGCGATGGAAAGCGGCACCGAAGAGGGCCTGCATTTCCTAGTGTGTCTTAATCGAGCCAAAGACGCCGATTGGCCAAAGACGTCGTTACGTTAATTGATTTTCGAATATTTCACGCCAAACTTCAAATAAAATCAAATGCAATTAGGGACTGCTACTGTGTGGAGTTCCAAATCGCTGCGATTACAAACAGGGCGATCAATTTATTATACTTGATGGAAAAATTAGAGCTTTAAAAATTCTGTGATAGAACAAACCGCACAATGAATGGATTGTCTGTGTTTTCGAGTAGTTTTCGAGGTTTGAGAATGCCGCTCTCTCCTGAGCTTTTGGGACATTCAGTAGATCGCTCGTCTTTCAATTCTCCTCGATTCGGTTTAACGATTGAAGAAGGAGAACAATCAGCGCGACACACTTCAATCAAAAACAGACTGGAAGCTTTAAGCAAGCTTGATGGAGAATCTGAAGATCCTGGACGTCCGATGCTGATCGAACCCCCAATAGAGAAATGGATGCAGGATCAAACACGCTTGGGACTCCCGATGAGCCCGAAACCGTCAGAGTGGTTTCTCTCAAATGGTGCTGCGTCAACATCGGCTGATTCGTTGATGCTTGACTTGTATGGAAGCGGACAAACAACGCCAACAAATGAGAAGATAATGGAGGAGGAGAAAGAAGTGACTAGTGAAGAAGTGAAGACGGACGAATCAACAGAGGGGACCTCAGATTTGATTCTTGAATTAAGGGCGATTAGATCGATGATGTCAACATTGATGAAGGTCACAACTCAGCAGCAACAGCATGAAATCAGAAATGAGGCATTGATTGCTGAAGAAGAAAAAACAAGAAACAAATGATGAAGAGGGAGAAATTGTTGAAGAAAGGGAGGAAGAAGAAGCTTTGAAGAAGAGTGTTGTTAAGAGAGCGCCACAACTTCCACCCAAAAAGACAGCAGGAGAAAAAAGAGAAATAGAAAATAGGAGTGAAGCAGAAACAACAGACGCCTCAGACCAAAGCAAATTGACCGAATGGCAAGAAGAAGAAAAAAATGATGAGAGGGAAGAAGAAAATAATGAAGAGCAAGAAGAAGAAAATCTGTCAGAAGAAGAGCATGGTGACGACGAAGAAACTATGTTTGAGACTAAGATTAAAGATAAGATCATTCGTGCAAAAAAAGAGACAAAAAAGCAAGAGCTCGGAAGAAAGCGACAGAGATCGATGGAGATGTCTGAAGAAAGGCAAACTGAGCGGCAAAATGTATCCCGGCGGCCAGCAAGAAAAACATTTCCGCTAATCGCCAAACTGCAAACACCAACGATTTCATTGAATGGGAGAACTTACAGCCTTCATTTGATTCGAAGCTCCAAAGCAAGTGAAATAGATGAGAAGAGTAATGCCACACAGCCATTAAGAAGGCAAGAAGGAAGAGAAACAAGACGGGATGTCAATTTAGATGCTCAGTAAGCTTGGAAAGTATGAAGCAGTGTTAATCGTTATTGCAGATGGGAGAGAGAGAAACCGGAAAGCATTGAATGCAGAGGGGAGAGAACAAACCAGATCAGTGAAAACCTTATGAGGGCGATTTTGACTGGAAGAGCAGAAACGAAGGATTTAGTTTGTGAGAAAGAAAAAATGAGAGAAGAGCTAGAGAAACTTGAAAAAGAGAACAATCAAATCCCTCTGTTGGTTGCTGATGTTGCGGTTCTAAAAACGAAAAAAGATGAGCTGGAAGGGCTTCTGAATGCTCAAGAAAAACATCTAAAATCCGCTCATTCGGCATTAGATCGGTATGTTTGGACAGGAGTTAGCAAAAACACGTTCGTCTTCCACAGGTTGGAGTCAGAACGATGTCGTTTATTGAGTGAACTGGCTGCAGTCGAAAGACTTTATTCAGATGCATTGAAGGAAGCGAACGACATGAAGAAATTGAAGGATGAGGCGGAAATGTTGCAGCAGGAAGAAGCAAAAATGTTGGAGATAATAAAAGAACAGCTTGAAAAGAAAAAAGAAGAAATTAAAGAAAAGACGAAGTTGCTGGAGAAGTAGGTTGTTGCAAATATTGAATGGATGACGCTAATGTGGAGAATCATCTTTAATTATTGGATTCTTGTTTGATTTCAGTCTTCAGTATGAAAATGCAAAACTAACGGCAGAAATTAAAGCTCTCCAAGTTCAATTGCCAGGAATTTCAGAATATGAAGAGTGAGAAATTATTTAAATTGGATCGTTATCTTATTGTGTTGCAGAAAAAATCAACTTCTGGAAACTCTACGGAATCACAGAGTGCAAGTAAGCAGATTCAATCAATCATTTTTCTTTGGTGATAAATTGTCTATAAATATACTTTTGATTCTCAGTATGAATTGCTACAAGAAGAATTGAATTCCATACGATCACGAATGAAAGAGGCGGAGAGTTTGAATGAAAGATATCAAAAGGTATGGCGGGGTTGATCTTCATGGAGTAAAACTTTGATTCCAGGCGAGTGAAGAGATGAAAGGGGCGGCTGAACAATCCAAAACGGCCCAAACGCTTCTGAAAGCGAAATTGGCTGCAGCAGAATCTCGGGAGGCAGAATTGATTCAACAGATAGAAACAAGGAGAGATTTCGCAATTTCTGATACCAGAGAAAAAAGAAGCTTAATTCAGGAATTGGGAGATGCAAGGGACTCTCTGCAAATCTTGGAAGAACAGTTTCAAAAAATGAGAGAGGAAAAGAAAAAAGGAGAAAGTCGAATGTTTGGAAAAATAAAAATGTTAAAACTAGAAAATAAAGCATTGGAGGTAAGAGCAGATCAAATGCGTACAAACAATACTCTTGTTAAATAGGAAGCAAATGAAACGCTGAGAACAGACTTAGAAGCGACACTGAAGGCAACGAGCGCATTGCATCATCAAGTGAGCCATCTGAGATCATCAGGAAGGTTATTGAACGATCTCGAGTCAAGCATCTATCGAGAAAAAGAAATTTCGAATCAAAGGCGATCAGTAGAAGTGATTCAGAGAATTAGCGTGATTCCATCCAACAGGCTGTACAGAACAGCGGCAGTCCAAGCAGGAAGACCGAAGACGGGGGGTCTGGTTTGGGACTTACGGGATCGAAGTTCAGAATCAGAAAAAGGACAGAGTGATGAAGAATTTGAAGCTCCTGAAAATGTTGAAAATCCGTCAGGGCGCTCCAGATAGCGAGAACGATTGTCCTGTTTACAATTCAAAAAATCGACCAACAAATGGTGAATCGCGATACAGAATGGATGGACGTTTTTTGAATAAACGAAGACCAGAGCTTCCAGCTCGAGACGTGAAGTGCGCTGGATTTGAGAAGCCGACTCACTCATACAAACTGCGACGGCTGGAGTCGAAAGGACGCCATTCAGGCGAACGCGGTGAAAGCAGAACAAGCGCGCCGGATGGACGTCAAGACGAGGATGTCGCGTGAGAACGAGGGGGTTAAGATGAAACAGACATCTGCACCCGAGGGGAAGCAATAACCGAAATGTGTTCAAACTGAATCGACCCAACAGGAGAAACTCAAATTCCCCATCACCGAAAAGGGAACGGAGTTTTGTTCAAAAAGCGCAACTGATTTTCCCTCGAGTTCCAACTTCTGAAATTCCAATTGATAGCACGATGGAGGTGAGCCGAAATATCTGCTGGTAAATTACTGGTTGTCTTCAGGCATTGCGATCAACTCAAAATTTGAAAAAAGGATTTCGAGAAATGCAAACAAGAAATTCGGAATGGAATGCTAAAGCAGGGAATCGCAACACGGAAAGCCGCAAGTCTCTCGATGCCTTCAGAAACTTGGTATCCCGCATTGGATCGAATTCCAGAGGAAAATGAAGTCTTCAGTAGAAACTTGAATCAGAACGCAGAGATGAAACCTGATCGGGAAACGTCTGAGACCACGAGAAGTGGAAAGACTGCTTCCTCATCCCCAATTTCATCATTCGAAGACTTAAGCACTGCGGAAGCCGGACTAATGCTTATAATGAACCTCAACATTTATTCAGGCTGACAACGGCTGAGGAGTTCTCACACAACAGCCGTCAACCTGATACTCCGAACTTCGGGTCAACCCGCTTGGCACAACATCATAATGAAAATGAGCAATATTCTGGACGGCCCATTGATAATGATCTAAGGAAAGAAGGGAGGCAAGATGCAGTTTGCCAACGTCAATCTCTTAGCGCCAGTTCGAACGTGGAAAAGGGGCAAAATGGAATTAGAGGCACTGAGAAGACAGCTTGCTGGCGATGGCATTTTGGTTTTGTGAGATCGTCCATTTCTTATGCGTTCTGCCCAAGTTATTTTTTTGTTGTATTTTTATTTTGAAAAATCAAACCGAAGAAAAATAGAAGCGCACAACTTTCCATTGAATGGGAAATGTGACTTTGTGTTGCCGTTCACAACGGCAGCCCTTTTTCGCACTAGTTCTGTGTTTTGTCACCATAACCGATGCGGTTAAGCGTAAGAAAGCATTAGCCACAAGCTTCGCGATTTCTTCTTCCCATCAGAAGATTCCCCATCGGACTTTCTGGTAGTTGATCGTTCAAAAACAAATGTGCATAACCGCTTGTGGCATTAGGTTCTCCATAATTCGTATCACTATTGCATGTCGTCTTCAATCATAGATTCTTCCACACAACCCATGTCACTACAGGTAGTCTGAAGCAACGAGAAGTAGATTACAATCATGGATGCAGTCTCTCAGTGAAGGCTGTTCAAAACTTGGACAGAATTGTACATTTGGTGTGCAGTAAGTTGTGTCTTGTTTCCACCACTTCTTATTTGATTCGAAGAGGGGCCTGCTTGGCCTCAACTCCCGGCAAACTGGCTTTGCTCTGATCAAGATAAGTGGGAAGATCTCGAAACTAGAAGCGGATGGACGATTGTAGTGAAAAAGTCGGCCAGTCAGTTGAATTTTTAGGAGGAGGGGGGTGCATCAATTTGATCCTCAGTTTCTCGAGCTCTTCCTGGATACTCCGTTGAAACAAACAGTCGAGTCAGTCAACCTTAAGTCTCAATTCTCTGAGATCAGATTCGTGAACAGATGGATTGCAGCACAACATCGCTCGAGCCGTTTATGGTACGCTATTTACTTTGTTGGGTGGATCTAGGGCCCTCATACAGTTCGGAGCTTTTACCGTGGCGGGCTTGGGAAAAATGTAAGGCATTCTGCACGCCACTCTTCATATTTGATGCGTTAGTTGTAACAACGATATTCGCTGCGCGGGATTCTCGTCAGTTCAATAGTTGTACTTCAGTCTCTTGATTTGGTGTTCATCCGGGCATTAGTGTGGATTTCTCGTCTAATAGCGATCCTGAATCGCTTCCCGCACCATCGGCACGTCAGCACAGGGCCCAGTTTTGCTCCCGTATGATCAAAACCTCTGAACAGTCTTGATTGTTGATTTCCTCGCAGATACTGGATCACGGCAGAAGAAATCTGGTTGGGGTACGCCGATTGAAAGCCCAAGCAGTAAATTTGTATTTCTTTTTTTCAGTTACTGCCTACAAGTCATGTACGAGAGTTATGCAGATGAATCTTGTGTCACACCAAATGAACCTTCAGCCGCCGCGGCAGGAACTGGCAAGGGTGAATCGGGGCAAGGTGGAAACAAGAAAGATGTTCATCCATGGATGCCATCCCTTCCCTTCGTTCCCTCTCCGAAGGCGTGAGCTTCCAATGGTATTGTCGCGTTCTTATTGTCCTTTTTAGAAAAACAGAGAAGGGTGAAACTCAGCAACACCGTAATGGGGGTCATCACTCAAGGTGAATTGTTCGAAACTTTTTTTTGGAGAGATTCTCCCTTTTTTTTCTTTCTCGCCAGATCATTATTATTACAAGCTGCCCAAGCGAGGAGTTCTCATGCCGGCTTAAGCTCATGCATGGCTGCAACGTCTCTCGGTTTGACATTTTGCTGAAAGTGCAACTAGGCGTTATTTAATGCTGGCTTCACACTTGCTGCAAATGAATGAAATTTTCTAACCAAATTTTTTTATTTACTAGCAAAGTGCAACCAATTTAAGACATTGGGTTGCTTTGAAGTTGCGGCGCTTTTTTTTGATAAGGGAATTAGAGCTTTTCAGTTGCAACGCGTCTTTAATTGTACGGGCTGTCCGGGATCCGTTCATGTTCCCGATGGCCTCAATGG